CCAAAACGTGTCCACCACAAGTGCCTCCCCTGTAGAGCAGTGGCAGCGGGAGAAATAGAGCAGCAAGGACGAGTTCAAGCTGGACGGTCGTGGGCATGCAAGACCGTTCTTCCAGCTGCCGCCGCCGGAGGGCGGCTTCATTGCGGACGTTCCCCCACAGCCTGCCGGTCGAGACCTTTTCTGGCGCGGAGCGTCCAAGGTGTCACCGAGCTGACGGAGACTCAACGGTGCTCCGACGAGTGGTGGAACGAGGTGGTGGAGCAGCTTCGACAAGGCCGCCTGTCGGAGAAGAACCACAAGTACTTGCACGGCATCGTCTCCGATGCGGATCCGCGGCCTGCTCCCCTCGCCATCGGCATGCCGGTCGCCCCCTCCCTGTAGATGCAAGGCAGAAGCGTCAAAGGCCTTGTGCAGATTTTACCATGTACTGTGATTTGTGTTTTGCCTCAGGTTTTTACACTTTTCGCGGTCACGCATGACACGAGTGCATGGTGGTCTGAATGCGTGGACGCAACCCAGGCCCAAAAAAGAGAGTCTCCGTAAAACCCCCTCCAGGTTTTCAAAAACTTTTGCCAGGTGGCAGGGCATGGGAGCTTGCGATTTAGCGCTGGCCTTGATTGCTTCAAGTGGTTTATTGAATGGTTCTTTGAGTGGCTTCAAGGAGGAGCGGCTCGGTTTGGCCCGGCTAAGCCCTGGCTGTGTCGGAGGAGAAACGGTCTGGATGATCATGGTTCCGAAGCCAGCCTCGTTCATTTCGGCGCCTGGCAGTGGTTTCGGACGGACTTCGATGATTGCATCGAGCCTTTGGAGGCCTGTTCGTGGTGAGTGAGTACGGAAACGGGTACATCATCACTACTGCCAACACCAGCAATCCTGACACGCCACATTGTGTTTTCCGAACCGTGTCTCAGAACTTGTGTGTATTCGCAAGGCCCTGACTTTGCAGCAATGCTGATGCGAGTGCCTTTTGGCATGCGCCTGTCTTTTTGGGCTCTCTTCGGAACACTGTGGTTTTTCAGAAGATTTCGGAGTTTGCGGGCCTTTGCCTTTCTCTTCACCGTGCATGCGAAGCAACGATGGCAAACCGCGAGGTGGCCTGTCACTGCCTTCGCACCACAAGTTTGTTGCTACAAGTAGGACAATGGCCCAGGTATCGAAGTCCCGGAAGACGGCCCAGCAAGGAAAACGCCTGTGAGTTGTTAGTGATTAGTGCGGCAGTCTGTTGAACAGCACACTCTGTCCTGAGGCGTTGGCCAAACGAGCCAAGTGAACACCCACCTGACAGCAAGGTCTCAACGCCAAGCCGTCTAAGGCACTTCAGAAAACAAACAGTGTCCTAACTCTGCAGATTGCACAACGCTTCATGTAGCATGCTCTACAAGTTCTTGGGAACATCTGACAGACAGGCCTCCACAAGTGTGAGTCCGTCAGCAGGTGGGCCGCCTAGAAGCTCTTCCAAAGCCTGAGTCTTTTGCATGTGACGCATCCTTTATCACGATCAACTGAGACCTCGGCGCCGTGACGGGTTAGAAGGAAATCGCTTCGTGGTGCCAAGATATGTGCCAAGTTACCTGTGTCGCGATTTCAGCCGCAAATCCTTCGAAACCCAGAAACCCAGAAGTTGTCCAAGTCTGCGGCCCAAGCCAAAGTCCACCACAGACAGCATCCTGGAAACAAATTTGCTTTCAAAAGAGGGTCTCAATCTCTTTCGACCAAATTTAAGGCTGCAGCATGTTGCTTCGCCTCGGTTACGTCGAATGCAGCAACTTTGACAGAGACGTTGTTCCAGGCTCCAGGCCAAAATAACACCCGCCGTCGTTCTCCAATGTGCTGCGCCAGCCGGAGCAGCGAAGCTGTGATCAGGGCTTTGTGAGTCAGCATGGCTGCCCAAGCACTTCTGTGGCCTGCCAATTCGAGGGGAGCACGTACCCACCTGGAAAGTGCCTCGAAGGGTACAATCAATAATCGGCTCAGGCAAGGCTTCATGTGAATCTGTATCATGGGCTGACCTGTGCTTCTCTACAGTTTGAAAGCTTGCGAGTGCTTTCTGCATCGCACAGCTTATGTTTCTATGGGACCCCCCTCCCTTGAGGATCAGCCTCGTCGTACATCTTATTGCAGCTTGGTTGTCAAGGCTTCACAGACTTGATCTAGTGCAACACGGTTCTGCGACGCCTCCGTGGTCCAGAGTCGGCGAACAAGGTTGGTCATGAGCTCGGACTGCATTAGCATGCACGGTAGCCAGGCATGGCGCATGCCAATACATTCCAAGCGGCACACCAAGTTGCGCAGCTAGACAACAACCGCCCGTCAACTTGAAACAACTTCCCTCTCACTTGAGTCTCTGTCAACATGTCAACATGCCTCCTCCAAGACGTAGCGTCGTACAGTGCTGGCCACTTCCTGGGGCAAGCGCATGCCTTAGGTCGTACACCTTCAAGCAAGCACGTTGCGAGGCAACACCTGCATGTTCAGCGAATAAGACTGCGACTGGGTGACATTTCGTGCATTTTCACCTGCCGCAATGCAACAAAGACCGCAGCAAGCATGTTGTCATGTTCAGTTTGCTCAGAGACTTCTTCTCTACTCGAAAGTTTTCGGAAGCGGCAAAATGCATCGGAGTAGAAAGGCAAGGGTGGCCTGGAAGTCTCCCCAGATGCTGCGCACTGTCTCGAGGGTGCCCAGGGGCTCGCACTGGCCAGGTTCAAGGAAACATGTAGTCTATGTGGGGAAAACCTGGCAGTCTGCGACTGAAGCCCACCTCTGAGCCAAACTGGCAAACGGCCTGCAGGCCTGGCATCAGCGCTGCTGTGGCTTGTGTTGTTGTCATTGTGCTAAAGCAGGCGCTCGACCACAGGTCCTGTTGAAAAGCCGAACAACGGATATTTCCGCAATGGCTCCATCTTTCCTCGTGCCACAACTCCTCCCTACCTGCATGGAAAATTGGTCTCGCCTTTGTATCCCGACACGATACTGTCCCCAAAACAAGTGGGTTGGGCTAGCGGCGAGGGCAAAGATTTTGAAGCCAAAGGCCTGGGTCGAAAATGCAGTGATGACCTCCTCAAAGCTCCCTTGCGGCAAGTGACTGGTGTGCTAAAGTTAATTGAGCCTGACGGACTTGATTAGTCGGGCAACGCCGCAAGAGCCTCGATTCAAGCTGTTTGGGATGTTGATTTCGGAGCTGTGCCTGCTGGACTGTGCAGCGCAAAGTGCCTGAGCCCGATGCAGCTGGATATGCACAAGTAGCCTTGGTTCATGGAGACTGGAAGTACAACATCTGCCCGTCGCGTAGGATGATCGGACTTCTGGTTCGTTGGTTTACTCTCGTGGACATTGTGTGCCGCACAACATCAATGAGCACGTGACCACTGCTGGGTTGCCACCCCCTGCCCACTTGTTCAGGTCGATGCGGGCCTGCTGCGGCAAAAACTTCAGCTTGACGTCAGCATAAGTCTTTGACTGTTCTGAAACATGAAGGCTCAGTCGATCCTCCATAACTGCACCCAGTTGCAACTGCCAATAAAGCCGCACCAGCAAATACGACTGCGACAACCGTTGGAAGCGCACGGGCTTGCTGCCTGGCGATGATTACTATGCTAGCCCTCCGGCCCTCCTTGGCATTGGTGCACATAAAACAAGATCGTGCTTGAAACGACGCCACAACCAAACAGGCCTTACAGCCCTTGCTATGGCTTCTGCGCAAGCAATCGCCAAGCCAGGACGTAGCCTATGAAGGTTCCCAGTCTTGACTGCAGCATGATTATGAGCGTCCGGCAGACCGTAAACATTCGGAGTCCGTTTCAATCAGAAGGAGCACCTTGCTGTGATTGGACAAGGTTCAAGCAGCTGATGGGCTCTCACAACTGCACCAGACTATGTCTACTGAGGCAACACAGCCGGGCGGTTCTGAGGATCATGTGATGATGCGCATGTTGCTCCGCTGCATTGCTACTAGTGCAGACGGCACTCACCCAGGCAGTAACCTCCTCCACTTCTGGTTTCAGGCTTCCGCGAGGCGGTCCGCACAGGGCCGTGGCAGGCCTTCAGCAGGATAAAATCTGTTGCAAACTTGGCAGCCGCATCGCTGCAGGTCTTTGCTGAAATCCACTGCGAAGTTTCCTACGTTTCCGGGCTTAGTTCACCTGCATCAAGGTAATCCTTCGAGGTCCCACGTCCATGAGAACACATTCGACGGAGGTGGTCATGGTTCACCGGTGCAGGGACCCACGCCGTCTGTTGCTTGAGTTGAAGGACGCATGAACTGCTTGAAAAATATCCTTTGAGGTGCAAGAACGGACCGCTTTGCCTCCCTCATTCTGTCGAGCACTCTGGCACACGCCCTTTAGATTCGATCTGACGGTGCTTAAGAATTAAACCCCACTCTGGCGTACGAGGCTGCTCTCTTTCTCTCACGGGGCACAAGGAGCATACCCCATGCAGCGTGAATGCCCTTGTTGGCGGTATGCTCGTGATCGGTTTTCCTGACGATGTTTCGCCCCCTGCGGACGCATCCCGGCCTCATCCCTGCGCCCTCTATGGCAACAGTCCTAAGTATACCTACGATCGCCATTCCCCCCCTGTGAGCGGCCACCTATAGTGCTTAGACGCTTGGGTCCTGTCACGCAACATTTGCAATACAGACATGTGCGAAATAGAGGACTGGGCATGTTCCCCCTGTCAGGTCGTTTGATTAGGCATCTGGAAGCATAGCGTATGGCTCCCCCTCGACAGCAACACAACCGCAAGACTACTGTTCCTGTACCTTATCGGCAGGGTTACCGTGGTTGCGGGCAAAGCCCCAAAGGCTCAAGTCAAGTGCCTCTGCTGGCCACACGTAGGCAATGCTAGCCTCGGTGATGGAATGCAATTTTCTGTTGGGTTGGAACTTCTCATCGGTTGATGCTTTGCTGAAGTCGGCTGGGTTTGCTTGAGTCCATGGCTCATATTCGAACTCAGCCTGGCCGCGTGTAGCGCACAAAGCCTCATCTGTTTCGCAGCGGCTTCTTTCCACATATCAGCGGCTGCTTCGTGACACATTCAAGCTTAGGTGCCTCATCTGTGCGAGCAGTCCAAAATTTAGCCCTGCATGCAGCACCCCACTGAGAAGCACTCACAGCAATTAGCTTGCGGCCATGAGGCAACTAATGTCCATAACTCTCTCATCCACCCGCACGAAGGAATGCAACCAATCAGGGGTTGTGAGGAGGATTGGTTCACTACAACACATTAAGAACACGAAAAGCAAGTGTCAGGCTCCTGCTAATCATGCAGGCATCCGAAAACGCACGCATACATACACGACGTAACAACGGTGGTAGGATGGGATGACACTTCGTTGCTTGGCTGGAGTGCGACCCCATTCCTTACACCACATATTGAACGTGACCTTACAGCGTGTGTCTCTGCTGTGCGCTTCAGTTCCTAGCACTCAGAGTCATTTGAAGACGCCAGGCTCGAGCAACAGCTTCTGGAAACCTCATTAAGTCAAAGGCATTCTCGAAAGATCTCCGGTGCCAGATTGGGGCAGTGCAATTCGGCCTGCCTGCGCTTAGCGCTGCCGTGATGCAGTGCCCGTTTCACTGGGCAATGTTTTGCAGTTCGTACAGGGTACACGCTGTTTCGGGTGAAACTTGCAGGTTTTTCCTGCAGAGAAGCTTTGCTCTCGTCATGCTTTTGCTCTCCGACGATTTCACACATCCTGTTAAACTGAGGTTACGTACTTTGGATCCTAGTTGTTACCCATCTAGTAGTTCTGCAACTAGCACAGCTCAGTGGAGTGAACGTCTTCACATGATCCATCACTCCCTCACCGAGCTGCGAAGAGGTGCTGGCGTACCCGGCTTGACGACCTGCGGCAGCCAGCCACCAGTGCTTTGAAAATCCGTGCTTGCATCTTACACTTGATTAGCAGCCCATTTCGCGACACGAGCAGCGGAAGCACTTTCAGGGTGTTCGTCGCGCCGTCTAGGGCGATGCAACCATTCCGAGCAAAATGTTTGGCGGAATAGGCTCAGACTGACAGTTAAAGGCACGAGGCCTGACTGCTGCGGAACTTGGCTTCCATCCTCGGTATCACAGTGGTGCTTCGTGGTGCAGCCGCCCTACATGCTTTTGTCCTGCATTGCGTCCCTCGGCTTTGGTTGCATAGAGACATTCAACAGGCATCGGCAGCATAAGTTCGAGGAGGAAGCCTTGAGTTGCTGCAAGCTACTGAGGCGACAGATGGACCTTGAAGCCTTTTTCACCGGCTTTCACACAACTTCGCTTCGGAGCTCCAGGTACCCAGCGCCGCACGCAGCCCGGAACATCTTCAATGAACAGCACTGTGGCCGGAACTGTCCATCTTGACTGTCAAGTGTCTTTCCAATGCGCTCGGTCAGTGCCTTCTTGTCTGCATCTGAGGGAGGATTCCTCGGGCGAGAGTTGGGGACTTAGCTCTAAGTGTTATGGCGGAACCGTGGGCTCGTGCGCTTGCAACTGACACTACCCTGGTTGCCGGAGTTCTTTTCAGACGTACTGCCAGCAGCTCGCCCAAGACTGGACATTCAACAGTTCATGCTGTGATGCCCGTTTGTCTAACGCCAATGCTGTTGGACGAAGAAAGGGGACGCAGGTCGCAGCACTACGAGACTAGACGAGTCAACCCTTCTGGCCAGCGCGAGATTCGACAGACGACGAAAGCAACAAACGCGGCTGCAGATCTCATAACGACAGTGACCCTTGCTGTGCTTGCTGTTGGCCGCTTCCCGTCCCCTTGTTGAATTCGTGGCTGAAATGTGTATCGCCACCGTTAATGGAAGACTCAATGTGGCAACAGCGACCTCCCTGGGACAGCTGTGATTGGAACACGAAACATCACGACTGCGATGTCGTCCACAAAGCCCTACCGCACGAATGCAACTGTAGGAGCGGTCTCAAGCTCGCGAAGCCCAGCAGCATTGTTTGCTTGCTTCGCTTAGGCTCTTCCCTCCATGGCCCTCGCGCGGACCTGTGTCAACCAAAACCATTCAACCAAGGAGCTTTCCCTCATTCTCCCACTGCTTCTGCCACGACCTTCCATCAACGGCAAGTTCACACACCAAAGGAGCTTGAAGCCGGAGTTTGGGAGTTTCTTCGCTCCCTCGAACAGCTGACAGACCCAGCGAGCTGCAACAGTTCGGATGCCGGTTGGTCCAAAACGACAGTTTTCTGTAGCCTGCATCGGATCATCGGATCGTGGCTCTGAAGCATGAGCGAAAGACAGCTGCAGCGGGGCAGCCTGGCATTCATCAGCATCTGCACTGCAAGATGCTCCGTCTGAGGCAGGATGCGCCTCGTCAGCATATTCAGATGCAGGGCAACGCATCTGCGATGGGACAGATGGGGCAGAACGCTTCAACGGGTGAAGTGCCGGGCACTTGGAAAACTTGTTCTGCTGCTGCACACTCGGATGTGGCTGTGAGTCAAGTGACATCGCTGCGAAGATGAGCGGCGAAACCAGAAATTCGATGAAGCCGACCTGGTGATCTATGCGCCAAGGTGGATCAATGCCAAGACATCAAGCACAAGCTATCCTTTCTCTGTCGTTTGGCGGTCTGGCGATCTACCTGCCCTGTAAATTTCCGAGTCGCACCTGCGAGAAAGGCCGGTTCACCGTTGCCCGATCATTCAAGGCCTGGACCGGCCTTGGGCGAAAGATGCTTCAACAGTTGTTCCTTTGACCTGACAGGCAACTTCTGGCTGTGATTAGCCGGGCTTCCTCAACCTGACAACCAACACCTAGCGAAACGTCAGCCTGTAACACAGTCGCTTTACAGTGCGCAGTTCTGATCACAAATCGTGGCTGCGCCAAGGGGCACTCCGAGCCGTGCTTCGGCGTCGCCTTGCAGAAAGAACCTGAGCTTGCAAGCAAAAGAGCATCCCCGAAATCAACAGAACAACTGCCTGCATGCAAGCACAAATGTACGCAAGCAGATGCATACAAGTATACGCAGATAAACGAACTAACACCTGCTTGAAATTAACGCATGTATGCCGGCTTAGCGCATACATACATGCAAACATACATACATACATACACATACCAAGTCACATTTTTGGCTCCAGTTGCGCAAGCCGCAAGCTGTAGGGGCTTGTATTCCGTTGATACCTGTATTCATGAGCCTTCTCAAGCAAGCATTGTCTGCCAAATGAACGACCTGTCCAACCGAGCGCGGCTTTGCAAATCTCACATCTTGCTCAAGTGTGCGTTTAAACTTTTTGACATCCCAGGCACTCCTCCAGCACCTGCCATGCCCAGATCCTGCTGATTCCTGGAGGCAAGCAGCGGGCAAGTCTGTGTGAGCACGGGCTACAATCAGGAAGTGTTCACGGTGGTGTTATATGTATATATATATATATATACAAACTTCAGCTGTCAAATATTCAGCCTCAGTCGTCGACACTTGAAGATTTGTATGAAGTCACGCCTGCCGTTCGTGGTGCTGACGTGTATGTTTTCGAGGCCTGCTTAGAAGCAGCAATGACAGTCTTCAAGAGGTTTCGGAGGTCATCAGGATCAGGGGTTCAAGGACAGAGATTCCAGCTGGAGCTCTAGAGTTTGGATGAGTCTCGGAACGGCTTCATGGAGTTCGAGATGTCGGCGAAGTGCAGCAGGAGATTGATCATCCTTGGAAACGGCGACCGCATCAGTCGGCAGCAACATTGGTAGCTTTCGGATTCTTCCCGGTGCTGTATGCTGATGGTCCTAAGAGGTCTGGGGAGCATATGCATGGGGGCTAAAGACCTCGGTGCGCAGGATTTCTTCAGCGAAACCACTCTTTCTCTTCACAGAGCTGATGGCCGTTTGGGCCACTCTTACTGTCCCCCAAGCTGACTTCGGACATTTTGTCACCTGTCAAGCCTGACAGATTGAAAGGAGACGGAGTTCCTCTTTGTGTGAGGGCCTGTCATGCCAAATGCGGGAGAAGCAGGCTTGTGCCCGGACAATTGCCAGTCCCTTGGCTTTGCTACATCGTCAAAGCTCTGCAAAGCGTGTGGCCTGAATGCTTGGCCTTGCCCAACCGACCGCTGACATGGCATCACACCCCTCCCGCCTATGGGGATGTCTCAGGCAGGGATGATGCAAAAGGTGCAGGCTTTTGAAAGAAGACATTTTCTGAACCCCTGGAACAATTCAATGATCCTTCATAAGTTTCGTATAACCCTTTCCCAACTCGTTGGCATTCTATATCACGATGGGAGCCGATCAGGCTTCAGCCGGAGAATTGCTGGGCTTCTTGGTCTCGTAGTAAACATCCTCGCGCTTAGCGCGGTCCTGCGGCACGCAGAATCACAGAACGTCATGGAGTTTGGTGTGGCAATTGGGGACCTCAAGTTCAAGCTTCGGAGGTGGTCTGACTCTGCAAGTTCTCCCACTTCTTGCCCGTCCTTGTTTCGAGCCAAATATGTTTCCCGACCGTGGATGATGCGCTCCACCACGGTGTCATGACAAAGCTCCTGTCTCGCTCTCTCTCTCGATGTAAGCGGCTCGTACCAGGGTGAGCATTTCCGAAGCTAAACTTCGGAAGAGCACAGTGTGGCTCAGCAGGAAGGCCTTCCGAGATGTAACTTCCATTACATCAAACGACCAAGTGACATGAACAACCAGCTGTTGTGTTAGTTTGTCATTGCTGCGAGGATAGGCCTAAGCTCATCGAACACATAGAAACGGTCGCTCCGGCCACTTCGAGGGGATTTCACGGAAGATGCCCTTGTTCTGGGCCACCTGCGGCATAGAGGGATAAATGGAAACAACAGAGCTTCACACCGAAAGGAACGAATCGATGGTGCATCGAATACTTCGAGCCAAAGAAAGTATGTATACACGCACATCAGTACATGTTCGTCGTAAACCCTCACGAACATGCCGTCAAGTCGAAAGTATGGTATAAAACGTGCAACTGATACAAACGTCCTGGCGATTCCGGTATGCACACCAGCCTCACAAAGAAACCCGGGATCTGTGGAGTGTTTTTCCAGCACCCCCCCCCCATTTTGGAGCCTCGAAGCGCTCGGATTGGGAAGAGCCCGAGCCAGTTCGCAGATGGCCGGAGCCCCGCGCCACGATGTGAATGTCCCAGGTCTTCATGAGGTCCTCGGTAATGTGCCTCGAGAGAGGGGAGAGGTTTGCAGGCAACATCTTCAAGGTCTGTGGGCACAACCACAACCGTGAAGTGTCAGAGTCTGGCCACTCAAGCACCCCATCAATAAAGCCAGTAGCAGCAGCACAGCTGAACACTATGCATCATCAGAATCATCAGCGTGATCTTCTGTATCAGATTCACTGTCAACTGCATTACCATCACCAGCAGCGGCAGCACGATTGCGAGGCTTTCAGTCCCCTCATGTTCCTACTCGGCTCCAGGATTTCAGACCTGCCTGGGCGCTCCAATGATGACCTCGTCGACCCACTTGCAGGCACAAACGTTCCTGGGGTAATCTCACAGAACTCACTGGGAAGCAGGTCGTGAAGGCTTCTGATTCTGACCTCAACCAGTTTCTATTTTACGGTGCACTTGGAAGCAGCTCGATGCCTCGGTTGCGGCATAGCTGTGTTGCAGACCCTTATTGTTGAGTCAACCAACTAGGTGGAAGCATGCTTTCTTTATGGCTGGAGATGAAATCCATCGACCTGTGGTTTAGTTCACGACGAATTGCGTCTTGCACCTGCCCCCTTCATGCCTGCTTGTGGCTTTTGGTGTCAGCTTCAGCCTTCCAGGCATGGGGTGACCCTGTGACCTTGCCCGGAAAAGTTGTCCGTCGCATGTCCCATAAGACTTTCGCAGCCCAGATTCAGCACCCGCTCGTTCAAGTTCATCACCTGGCGGGGCTCTTTCAGGGAACAAGTTTCGGACTTGCTCCAAGACTGCCGTAACTTGGGATGAGGACTAGAATTTGCGTTCACCCTTCGGAACTCTTTAGATCTCAGCCGTGAAGCCGGAAGGTTCTGTCCCCGAGCTCGGCTTATGCTTGCATCGTCATAGATGCCGACCAGGAGAAAGGTGCCGAGAGCACGGGCCTCCATCAACTGCACCACGCTTACTCTTGCACATGTCTTGAAAACGGGGAACCCCAAATTCTCACCCCTCAAACCCCGCTCCCTCGTACATCTCTCATCGGAACGCGTGCACACGAGATCAATTTAGCTGCAACTTTGCAAGCACGGTGGGGTCGCATGTCAACATCGTACACTTGGAGAATTAACATGATGTCTACGCGAACGGTGCTCAGACCTCCTTCAGGAACTCGGCGTGGCCGACATGAAACCTCGATTCGCCAGATCCATGTGTGGCGATGCTGAAAATCTGTTTGCCTACTCATAAAGCGATGGTGCTGTTCTGCAGCAGCCTCACAATGAATGTACAAAACAGAACCGAGCATCACACACCACTTGAAAACATCCATGGTCGAGCCATGTGGCATGTCGAAAGAGCCACAGGCATAAATTACCTTGTCCTGCAAGCACTACAGGGATCACAGGATGAAAAAGGCCGGCTTTTGCCGTGTGATCAGTTCGCAGTTCGCACGAAATCCTCCGAAGTTGGCTGCCTCGCTGTGGAAAACCTGGATAGGATCTGCTGAGCTCTTTGGGCTCGGGAGTGGCGTCGACTCACCCTACATGTCCTAATATCCGGCTACTAGACTCTAAATGGACAGAATTCTGAAGCTCTTGGCACTTTGCAGCATTTCACAACTGTGTCGGGCAGCTCTCGGATGCGCCGGGTGCTGGCCAGAAGCTGCACTGGAGCTTTGGTCCGTTGCCTCGGGTTCGTCACGCAGCTCTCTGTTCTCAGGGAACGAACGTTCGGCAACTCACAAATAAATCCGCAAACTCACTATGACACGGTGTTGCCAGCCGAAGTACTGAGAGCCACCTGGTTGTGCTGGAGACGAGCCTCTTCGATGCACTTGTAACTCACCGAGGCTTGCCTAAATTGATGTGGCTGCGGTGCTTTCGCACCACTTTATTCGGCAAGTCGAAACTCAGCTGTGAGTCCGAACCGTTGCTCGCCGATAGTCGCTACGCAAGATCTTGCCTGTACTTCGGAATCTGAGGTTCAATATACAGATGGTCATGATCACTATCTCATATCCGACTCATCAGGGCTACAATCATCGAAGCACCTCCCTCCACAAAGCTGCTGCTCGGCTGTGGTGCAGCTGCAGCCGTGATCTTTGTCTTGAGGGACTGAAGATCCTGGCATGCAGAGTCCGCTTGGGGGTTGGCCAGGTCCAGACACCATTTCCTGAACGGTAGACGCCGAAAGGAAAGCGCCTGCTGCTGTGGTCGAGTGCCATCTCACAATCTCATACCCTACTGCATCCTCTGACGTGGTGCTGCTCGTCTCTTCTGTTCTTCCTTGCCTCCGCTTATACTGTATGGGCTTCGAGACCGTCAAACCTTCTTTAGCAGTTCGCATTGACAAGAGAATCTGTCGTGGAACTGGGCTGTTCAAAGTTGCGGCATGACATGTTCCTCGCTTTGCTCCCCGAGACCAGTGCGTGATTCTTGCGACTTTCTTCTTGTTTGTTACTAAATTTTCAACGGGTGGACTCGTCCTCGCCACTATTCTTGTGCTTTTAGCACTGGTGATGCCGCCTTCTTTGGTTAGCACTCTGGTGTGGCATTGAGATGGATCCTGTGTGACTCTTTCCGCGGCCCACACCCAGTGTGCCTCGTTCGCCCTACACGAGGATGTGGAGATGGTTGCCAGCGACCCTGATTTTGTACCACTCGGGGTGTGTATGCAACACCTGCATTGGAAGTAGTCCGAGCTGGCAGCCTAACACATCTTCAGCCAAACACGAACATGTTGTTCAGCGAGTACGGTGCTCCTCCTCATTGATTTTGTAGCTTTCCCCCAGCTGGTCCACTGCAAGCAGCGCTTCTCGCACAGAATCGGAGAAATCTACCTTGTCCGGCTTCGGCTTTCACTGCAGGTTGCTTCCAGCTCATGCCCTGAGCAGTGTGTCATGCCATGGTGCATGGTGCACACATTCGCGTGATAATGGGTACAATAGGGAGATAGCACGCATCCCGGCATCTATTGGCAAAGCCGGCGGAGTCGTATAGCGGAATCAGCTCGATGTGAGCCCTTCCAACCATTGGAATGACGCATGACACGCACAACTCCTGAACAGCAATGCCCGTGTGCGAGCGTCCGGAGAGCAAAAAGACTGAGAGCATGATGCGATCTTTGCAAAGGAGCATGTTCGCTGATCCCGGCACGTCGGAAGCTATCAGTTCAGCTTCTCACGCGCTCTAGATGCTGAGCGAAGCCCAGTCCCTTCTCTACGTGATACTCGCCCAAGTGCATGAATCAGAATACAGACATCTGAACGATTGGTTTGCTGACGTGCAACATGCGCCGCTGGCATGGTACACCTCAATGCTTGGGCGACAGCAGGATGAGCAGAACTTGTCAAACCGGAGTATTCCAAGCCAGTCTGGACGATGTGCTTTCTTAGCTTCTTCTCGGTATCGTGTGACTCGTGTGACACGCAAGCTTCATCCAGCTTGAAGCGATGTTGTGCTTTTGAAGGAAAGAACGGAAGGAACTGCATGCTGGCAAAGATGCTGCTCAATTGCTGCATCTGGGCTGATGCGGTAGCCTGAGCAGCGCAAACCCTCGTACAAAGACGACAATGACAAAGCACCCGCAAAGTCGACCCAAACATAAAACCAAATCGACACTGCCAATTTGAAGCCAATGTTACAAGTACCCAAGCACCAAAAACAGCAAACCTCAATCGAACAACGCTCAACACTGCTCCAAGAGCAGACACCCCTCAAGCAATTTAAAAAATCCTGTGGAACATTTAAGCATCGCTCTCATACGTGCTTCTATCTGCTTTCATGTTTGCATGCTGTTTCTTTATGATCAGGGTTTTCCTGTCGCCGGTGGCGGCCTGGTTTGTACTCAACATGCGCTGTTAGCCTGCCGACCGCTTAGAGGTGCATAGCCCCGCTCGATTCGGAACTGTGAAGCGAGACTTTGTACCTGTAGATCATGCCTTGCATACTTGAAGGTCCTTACATCTTGAACGATGTCGAGAGCATTGCGGTCAAAGTTGCCCATGTTCGGCGATTGCTGGCCACCGAAGTCAGCCGGCTGGTTTCGCGACAGGGTCAGCAAGCGGCCGATAAGGTCCTTACATGACTCATTCTTGATTCATGCGTGCTCTAGGCATCGCATGCAGAGGCACGATGCCTGCTAGTTGTAGTTGGTGCTGACAAGTCTTGGCTGACGTTCGTGATCAGTGTCGAGGCTGTCTGTCTACCTCTTCAGGTTATCCGCATGGAGGCTGCGCCTCCACTGCCTGCTCGCACCTGAGTACTGGAGTGCTTCAAAGGTTCGGTGGTAGACACGCCCTCCGTCCGCTTGATGATGCGAAGCCGTCCTGACTTCGAGCGATTTTTTGACCGCCTGGTCATCTTCCCATGCTCCGACAATCCCAAAAAACAACTACGATGACTCCCGGTCGGTTCTTCTCAATGTCCCAATAAACTTTCCATGGCTTCCGCCGGCAGCTGGAAAAGCCTTGTAAACTCCGCTGCTCATGATCATGGTGACATCTGTCATTTCAAAATATCGTCCTGCAATGCGCATTTCGTCGTAGGCGCAGACCCCCTGGGCGTTGACTGGCATGTCGTCACCTAGGTGTGAGTTTACTTGGCAGGAACTCCCCCAAGGTTGTTGCAAGAGGGCGGTGGGCTTTGTGATTTCAGCTGAAGGCACCGTGAATACAGAAGTCGGCGGAGGCACGTTCCAAGGTGGCGATCTCAGGAGAGTAGGGGACCTGAAAGCGTTGGCTCAACTTGAACACTGCTCTCGGACTGGGTGAGTCTCGCCGTGTCTACTCCACTCCGGGTGTACCAGTTGACGATCTGGGCGGTCGGATGGGAAGTGATGGTTGGCACAGTGTGAACAATCGCCCAACAAGTTGGTAAACGCTGCAAATCAGAAGCAGGTCTGGAAGAAAGAGAAAGAGGAAGAGACAAAGAAAAACAGGCAAAGACAGAGAGAGAGAGAGAGGGAGAGGGAGCGGGAGGGAGGGAGGGGAGTGGAGGGAATCGAAAGAGAGACGAACAGACAGAAACAGACTCACACAGACCAGACCAGACCAGACCCCACCAGACAAGACGGACAGACACAAACAAGTCATGCAGAGACAAGACAGACAGAGACACAAGGCAAACACGGAGAAAGCCGACACATCGAAGACAGACAGACGGACAAACAGACGCACACGACAGAGAAAACATCAACAGAGAAGTGCAAAAGGTAGCAAGGAAGCAAACAGGGACCTCTGCCACCAATGACAATGGAAGTTTAACGTCCGACAAAGACAAGCATCGTGAACTCTGTAGTAGCTGTAGTATGAGACAGCATCGACGCCGACGATCAAGTATTTCAACAAACCAGCTGGCCTCGTAGAGGATCTCGTCGATCCATTTTATGTGATCCAGGAGGCCATAGCGCTCCGTTTGCTTCATGACCTCAACTGAGAGGGTCTGCTGATGGAGTTTTGGCCTGATACTGACCGTTTTAAGCTGCGATATCACAATCGCCCCTGCTTGCGCAGCTGAAGCTACAGTCTTTCCAGGTTGTAACCCGTCCAAGTTCTAGGCAATGGGTATCGCAAGAAGCACCTGTCCAAGGCTTGCTGTACGGCATGCTGCATCCTTAAAGACCACAGCCTTCTTTTCGAGAATGCCTTCGTCTCAGAAACTTCGAACCGGCCATCTGAGGTCTAGGCGGGGACTGACTTGTTGTCTGCAATCTCCTGATCGGAGTGGATGCCCACCTAGTTGCTGTCCAGAATCGGCACTATGAGGGGCTCTGTGAGGTTTAGCTGCTGTTTAGCTTTTGCTGGATGTGTTTCAAAGGGCTGTGAGAGCGAGCAAAACAGACTTGAGGAGGGAAGGGGAGGAAGAAAGTTGGTTGTCTTGTACGCCATTGCACGCCGCCGTCAGTCGTCCTCCTCTTCCCTTTCCTCTGCTCTTACCAGCAAATCCAAGGCACCACAAGAACGTCACATATGCTTTTGGCTTGCCGTATGGCGTTGTAGTGCCCCGAGTGCATGATGTCGAAACATCCTCGGACGAGGGGAACCCTGGATGGGGAACCTCATGGATCCCTGCCTGACCCTGGGCGGGACAGGGAACCCTCTGCAAAGCAAATGGACAACTCGGCCCAACTCTTGCACGTCACATCTGCATGAACTTCTCCACGAAAACTTGCATGAACCACTCTCTCCGCTCTCGCAGCAGTTCAAGTTCGCTTACGAAGACTTCGACTTGACCTTTACCCAGGTGGAACTTCTGACAAATTTGGATTTGGGATTTGTCAAACCAAAAGGATTGCAAGGGCCTGCGTACCACATTGAGGGCAGCGCAGTTCTGCATCCTGCCTCATCACTGTCGAAGTTTGGTAGGAAGCCCAAATTTGTGCTCAGCATCCGTCGATGTAGCCGCGCACCGGCTTGGTGTCCGACATGGTCAGAGTCACGAGAGCTCGACTACTGTGCAGGCTAGGGCGGCTAGGGGTACAAAGTTGGAGCTTGCAGGGTTTTACACATGTTTGCCCAGGCTGGCTGGCTTGTGCTTCCAACATCGATGTCTCGCGAACAGGGCGGCGAGGCGGCGAGCAGCCGAAACGCTTGCAGTGTCTGATGCAAGGAGGCGGCAAGGCCCGAAAGGCCAACAAACGCTTCGAAGTCCTCAGCCTCCCCTGCTGCATCCTGCACCTCTCAGCCTGCTTTCGCACATTCTGCGGCAGATTCCACAAGTCACCTGTACCGCCTGTGCCGCTCCGAAATCGAAATTCGTCAATGTGACCACGTGCCACGTGCTCCCCAATCCTGCTGAGATTGCTGCCCTTCGATGCCGAGTCTATCCTGAACCCCCACCCGTCTTGTGCCAGCTTAGCCACAGCTTGCGCGACTCGACGAGTCTGAGAAGGTCAACAGCCTGCTGACATTGCAACTCGAGGGTGAATGTTGCCTCCCGCCTGGCTGGGACGAACCTACAAGGCAGTGTACATACGTGGCTGATCAAAACTTAGACAAGAAAGCTCGCGCTGTGTAAAGCTGACGTAGGCAGGATTTCCACTGGCTGTCAGCGTGCGAATCTCTCAAGCCTTCCAAGAAGCCAAGAGCTCCGGCCTCCTGCGCCAGGAAGTCGCCGCCCTGCATCGGATTTTCACTGAATTTGGTCGGGCCTTGAGCCCTTCGGACGACCCGAAAACGACGGTGCAACTGAACCCAAGCCTCCTGCAGGAAGAGGAGCCGTGAAGCATCCCAAATCTCCGAGTTCACCTGCAATGTTAACCATGCAAATCACCGACTGAGGGCCATGGCCAGACTGCATTGTTACATCTGCAAATATGACAGGGTGCATTCGACTTATAAGGTTTGGCTCTCGCATGGCTGGCCCTAGGATCAACCCAGCAGCAGACGACAGTCGAAGATCTCTTGCTATGCTGCTGATGATCTCTACACTTGCACACTGTATGCTCTGGCCTCGTAAAGCATCTGCACGTCTTTCACCTATGACAGGTTCCAGGAAAGCTCTTCGTGAAGAGCTACTTGCAACAGGCTTCAGTCAAGGGTTGTCGCCCGATCAGAGGCTCTTAGAAACAAGTGGGTGAGTACAGTGTCCTCAGGCTTCTCGTTTTGGCAGCGGATGGCGCATGTCGCTGTAGCTTGAATCCAAACTTTGATTGACGAAGTCGGCACCGCCCTTTAATTTTTCGAAATAACATGTGCAGCACGGTATAATCGGAAAAGCCAACTAACGAGTCGCGAAAACCGGCTACATAAAATGAGGCTCCAAGGAGAACACGGCCTGCAACATCATTGTCAGTCTTAACGGTTCCGGTCCTTTCAGGATTTGATCCCTTCAACGGTCTCGCAACCAGAGAAAAACTGGTGATGTGCTTCTAGACCAACTTCGTTTATCAAAGAAGGGCAGCCCTCGGAGTTCAAAGACCGACTTCTCCAAGAGACCATGGTGAAGTGTTGCGCATTGTCGGTGTGCAAGATGGACTCAATGCACACTTTGCGCACGTCGAAGTACCTTGTCGCAATTCCAGCACCAGTGGGCAGCTGCCAGTGTCCACTTCTGCCCACACACCTTCTTGTGCTTTTGCAGTTTGCAGCATCTACAGTCAGAGCCCAAACCAGCCAGCCTTTGCCTGTCGACCCATATCGAGGTGGCCCTTCAAGGCATGAGGTGGCTACCAGTACAGTGCAGAAAGACGTTCGGCGTCTCTGCTCACCGCCTCATGTATATCATGCATGGCGCATAGAACCCTGCTTATGTAACAGCCTGGTCAGGAGCAAACTGGTCTGATGCTGCCGTCATGCTGGGTCTTCGACAGCGTGGAGAAAATGTTGCCTGAGTTGCAAAGGACATGCAAACGAACACGGGGACTCCAAACGAAGCACATCTTCTCAGCCTGCTGGGATGGCATGGGGCAAACTGACGGTGCGAACGGCCACGACGCAACGCGAACTTCCGGAACCAGGGTCTACAATGCCAGATCCGCTCCCGCGATCGATTTGACCCTTCGTGCGTCTGAGGTAGTATGTTCGGCACACTTTCCTGTGCATCCGCCGGTACTGTTGCCGAACATGAGCTGCTGGCAAGCGTCATCTGGCCTGACTCACAAGCTCGAACATCTTGGAGCAGTGCATGTTCTCCAGAGGCGATTTATCCTGATCGACTGGCTTCGGCGGCAAATTTAACAAGCTCCAGACCTGCTAAGCACCATGTCCAGTCACATCTGCATGAAAGGAGTGGGAAAGCCATGTCCCTCAAGGCAGGTGGATCGAAAGCCCCTGCAACACGGGATGTGGCTGGACATCCCCCACGGCACAGACAGGCAGGAATGGCAGCCAAAAGCAATGAATACGGACTACCCTTTCGTCGGGCGCCATCTTTACTAGTTCCTTTACAATGACAACATGTTAATTAGCATTTTGATGCCGCTGTACTGATACTGCTATTGACATCTTCACTTCCTGTCGGTTAACTGTACTAGTCGTGGTTGTGGTGGCAGCAGTGATGGCAGAAGAGCCGTTAGTAGTAGACGTCGTCGTAGTAGTAGCAGTAGTCGTCGTAGTAGCAGTAGAAGTAGAAGTAGAAGTAGTAGAAGTAGTAGTTGTCGTAGTCGTAGTCGTAG